AAGGGGGGAAAAGACTATAAGGTTTCAGATATGTCGGCACTGGCAGTAACAATTAAAAAGGAGTTTTACCCAAGATTATATATTTGGTATTGACACAAAAAGGCATATTTTATGACTGTGTATGAAAAGAAACACATACCTATTTAATGATAACCTTTCAGGAGACAACAGTGCCTCCAACACACAGCAGGTGTCCAACCGTTCTCTTCCCACATCCTCGAGACAAGCAGGAAGAGGAAGCAGCCGCAGGGACCGGGGAGCAGGGGAGGACGAGGAAGGCCATAACCCCGACGAGACAGCATGGACAAACAAACAAGAAACAACATACATGCAGTCTCAGTATCAGAAGGATTTCCCTCCTCCGTCCTCCTGCCGCAGGAGGCGAACACCTGCCCTCCCACAGCCAGACAACATCGGCATCAACCCCGCCTTCAGGTGAGTTTGACGACATCACGGCATACTGTAGCTGAGGGAAGAGAGCAGCTCATCACTGTCTGTGTGTTTGGGTTCACAGGATCGACTTCAGCACTGTGCAGAGAGACGATTACCCTGGTTGGCCCATCATGAACCCCCGGAGGGCTGGGAGGTCTCGTCAGGACAACCAAACATGAACAAATAAATACAATTCAGTCGGTCATATTTTCTATTGCAGTACATGTCTAATTCCATCAAATGGATAATGATGTTATAAACCAGTTAGAGAGTTGCCAGTTTTGTTGTGTTTTTCTCTATTTATATTTTCATGTTTATACATTATCTTGTTAAAACCAATTCGTCTGAATCTAACTCCTCAGTTTAAATATTGGAGTGTATATAAAGTCAGAGGTCCTCACCTTTTCTACCCAAAAATATGACATATATATTTATGATTTATTTATATAAGTATAGGCACTCAAGCACAATCAGATTATTTAGTTGCCTTTGTTATTAAGAACTTAGTTCCTTTTAGCACGCTCAGGCAGTAAGTGATGAATTTCCCAGCAGCAGGTCACCCAGGTGAGCTAATGGACTGATAATGTTTCCAGCGCATTGAGTCATTGAGCCTAATGAGCTAATGCTTACATCAGACCTTTTAGCATTTGATATTGACGAATTCAGACTGAGGTGTGGTCAGTTTGAGGGGAGACAATCCACTCATTGACTCATTACTGAAACATGAAGAGCTTCAGTGAACAGGAGAAAAACATCTGAGCGGAGGTGTCAGCTGAGGTCACAGAAGAGGATAACTTTTAAATTAAACTACCAACCTACAAAGATACACTTGTCTCTGTACAGGTTTGGTTCCACACAACATTTCACACAGTGACAATGACTGCAGGATAACACCGCTCAAATATGTGTACTCTAATATCAAGCGTGGTAGGGTAGTAAACAGAGCAATCCAAATGAACCGGAAGTGGAAAGTCGTCCAAACTGTAAACAATGCAAGAATTATTTGGGACCCGAAGGTAAAACCAAAGGGTATATTAGGTGGACACCTAAATATATACGAAGCTTAAAATCTTATCTAAAAAGTGACCAGATAAAGAATATGTTACTAGAGTCTAATTTAGATTACCTCGGTTTAACAGAAACTTGGCTTACGGACAACTCCCCATCTGCTGCCGTACAACTTCCGGGTTACAATAGCTACAGGAGGGACCGAATGCACACTAAAGGGGGCGGTGTTCTAATTTTCGTGAGAGACACCATCCGTTGCAATGAGATTTTATGGCAAGACCCAATCGAACTAGAATGTGTAGGCCTAAATATGATCCTGTCGACTCAGATGTCCTTTACTTTAATAGTAATTTATCGACCACCTTCCTCAAATGTTAGCTTCTATGATCAATTCAAGAAGGTTTTATGTCAATGTGATTTTAAGAAAGAGGTAATTGTAATGGGTGACTTAAATTTGAATTGGGAAGATAAGTCATCAAGGAAGAAGCTTAAGCAAATTACTGATAGTTTTAATTTGACTCAAATCGTTAAAGGCCCAACGTGAATAACAAACAGCACCAGTACCCAGCTTGACCTCATTTTAACAAATAGACCTGAAAGGATTACAAAATCATACAATATGGTAACAGGGCTGTCAGATCACAATATGGTGCTGGTATCTAGAAAACTAACTGGCAAACGGTTCACTGCGTATGC